TTCGGGTAAAAATAATGAGATAGATATAGATAAAAACAATGACAATGAAGATATATCCTTTACAATCATAAAATCCTAGTGTTTGAATCAGAGAATCAAACAGAGCTATTAATTGAAAAGAGTCTTCAGGAGGAAGTCTTCTCATGTGCTGGTAAGGACTTAGTTTTTCCTCACACACAATATTCTCCCATCTTTACTATTACTAGCTCTCAATTATGCTTCAAAGTTTCTCAAGCCTTTTGTTGAAAAGCAAAATTCAACTGAGTAAATATGAAGATGTAACTGATTTATTAGGCAATTGATTAATCGGGCAGCTTCCCATCCCATCCAGCAGCTAGAAGGGTGCTCTGGGGGCTAGGAGGTAGAAGGTTTTTATAGAAAGCAGGATGCTGCAAGGGATGTGTTAGAAAAAGAAAAGAAAGGATGGTTTTTAGGACTTCTTTTGGGGGAGGGTGAAGGTTTTGTCATGCAGATGGCCTCCTCTTCCTCTGGAGGATGCAGAGCGCCCATGGGACATACTACCTCTCTAGTGTTAACCAGAACATTTCTACTGACTGATTAAGATTACATTTCTGGGGAAAGGTGACACTGCATTTGGGTGAGATGTTAAGTCTAGGTTTGGTATCATGGGCTTTTAGCACAACTGACACCATTTTGAGTCTGTGGCTTTCATTTTAACACTTTCAACAACTATTCTCAACTAGATCCCCTAGGGTAGGCCCTCGGTTTAAGAAAAGCTTACAGTGCCCCCTAGAGGCTAAAACCTTAAGAAAGGAATACTTCTGTTATGAAACCAAACTTGAGTTCCCTCACCCAGTGGGCAGCAAATCCAAGCTACTGACAGGGGATTGTGGTGAAAGAACGTGCAGCATTTATTTGCAGGGTGGCAGCCAAGGAGAATGGGCAGCTCATGCTTAAAAACCCGAAACTCCCTGACGGCTTTCAGGGAAGAGATTTAAAGGCAACATTTGGAGCGAAGTGGAAAAGCTGTGGCCTTTCTTCTGACTGGCTGATGGCGAGGTAGCAGGGAGATGTTTCAGGAATCTTAATCATCAGCCTTCCGAGTCCAGCCAGCCTGGGGTCTGGCTGCTAGTGGTCAGCATACAGTCACCACCCTCCACGTGGGTGGGAGCCTCAGTTTGTGCAGAATAACTCAAGGATTTGTGTCAGATTTTTGTGTATATCCCTTGATGAGAGACTGGGACTCTACTTTATTGCTGAACTATTGCTTCTTGACTGCTTTCCCTTCGTTTCTGTGTTCCCTCACTTCCCTACTTAATAACTGCTTCAGTATTTTTGGAACTCAGGAAAGGCCTAGCAGATTACAGCCTTTTTTTTTTTTAATAAAAAAGAAATCATATTTATACTTCAATTAAAAAAAAAAAGGAAACTAGGGACTTGGAGGGGCTTTTATGCCCAGAATGGTCCTGCAGGGTCCTGCTCGGTCTCACTTCTCACTCAGCAGATACCCACAGCGCAGCCCGGCTGTCTTTCTCTAGGACTGTACCTGTGAATTAATGTGACACTACAGAAGTATCCACAAGGATGGAGAGTACCACAGGTAGAACCACAAGTCCCCACAGTGCCTTTTTATGAAAATAAATTATTTTACACAATAGAATTTCATGTAGTGATATAAAAATAATCCATTTAATTCTTACTTATGAACTCATAAAAATGAGCTCTCCAATGTGATTCAGTCAGTTTAACCATATATTTAAGTCTGTCTATGACCTAAGAAACTGCAAAAATCAATTAGAGTTGTATCCTGCCTAGGGCTTATGATATAGTGAGGGAGACAAATATCTTTGTAAATGGCATAAAGGCTTAGAGGATGCCAATGTAAAAGAAAGCCATAAATATTACATGAACATCAAGGCAGTAACAACTACTTTCGGACAGTATTACAGGAGACCGCTCAGTGGATGGCAGGCTATGATGTGCCTTCTGTTGAAGTGACAACACTGGACAGTAACAAAGTGAGAATGGGTGATCTTTGAAAGGGGCTTGTTAATTTTATTTGGGGATTGGGGGTAATTAGGTTTACTACTTATTATTAATGTATTTATTTTAGAAAAGGTGCTGGGATTGAACCCAGGACCTAGTGCACGCCAAGCATGTGCTGTTCCACTTGAGCTATACCCTCCCCCCTTGTTCATTTTAAATATGAGGAACAGGGAAGACAAGCAAGTATGTGGACAGGGCCACCCATCACAAACACACACACACAAATAAGTGTACTAAAGAACACGGGGTATGTCTGTCACTTAGTCTGGGCACAATCTGTAACCTTAAACAACTACTAACACCATTCAGGTCCAAGGAAAATGCTTATCCACGTACCATGACAGTTGTCCTTGAAACTGCATTTGAATATCTGAAAACTTGTAGATTGTGCTGATGCTGACACAGAAGGCCAAATCTTACTTGGAATTTGGGTGAATTTTAGGGAAGAGAAAACAAAAATTAATTATCCAACCTAACTGTTCCTCTCAGATGTCACGGACGCAGTGGATCCTTTCATGACTCAAGTGTTTCCCAGGAGCACTGAGGATCCATTATTTAAATCCTCTTGTGTTCTCGTCTGTGTTTCTGAAGGAAGCTCATAAGTCAGCACAGTATTCACAGCAGTTGCTCATGTTGCTGGGATGTTCTGCTGTATTAAGCATTATTACTTTTAAATTATATATATTTACTCTAAACTGAACCTGCCTAAAGAGCGATATTTGCTTTAACAGTTAGAAGGGCATTGAAACTAGAGTTTTAAATGGCTTAATTTGTATTAAAAATCTGTAACTTTAAAATAAATTTTAAATAAAATTTCAGTTTTAAGTATATTTAAAAATCTGTTTATTACTATTGTTATTTGTATCTTGTTTTTGGCTTTAGTAGATTATTTTAAAGGAAAAATAAGTTTTTGAAAACATATGAAAATAATTTTAGTTTGTGCCTTTGTCTCAGACTTCATAAACAACGATTCTCTGCAGAATGATTTGGATGCCAAAGCGATGGAAAATGAGGGCCTGTATATTTCACTGAAGTAAGATGTGAACTGATCTGCAGACACGGAAGCTCAGGAGGACAGTTCAAGAATGTTGCAAATGTTTAGTAAAGAGACTGTGAGAGATAGTGCAGAAAAATAAGTAAAGATGATTGAGAAATCACAAATTATTACTGGCCCCCCTGTGGCTTTTAAAGAATC